ATTATTTCCACAACTATTTTTCAAAAAGCTACAGCCCCGTGGAGGTACGCTGTCCTACCGTCAAGGCGTACTGGAGTTTTATGTAAACATTTTAAACCAGTGGTGTCTACATGTGAGAGAGATGAACTCCTCTAATCTTTCAGCCAAGCACTAAAGTTTTCAGAAATTACGTATAGATCCTAGTGCTCCTTGTCAGTGATTGATCTTGTTTTTGTAACATACTAACATGTACCTCAGCTTTTCCACTAATTACTGTTTGAGGCGGCGTGGCGACGGGCTACCGAGGCGGCAGAGAGCGGTGCCGGCGGCGGCAGCGCTCCGGCGAGGGTGGCCCTGAAATTGGTTGAGGGAATGAGTTTGGGGGCTTCTAGGAGCTCGCTGGCGCGAGGGCTAGGTCCGGGACTCACCGAGGCGGCGACTCGATGTTGAGGATATGGCGGCCGCGTCCTGGCCGACGCGGGCGGCGGTGATGGCGCGGCGTTCCACGGCAAACCACAGGTGTTCGGACTTCGGATTTGGGTATGGAGGTCGAGTGGGTTGTGGGGAGTTAGCTGGCGCGAAGGCTCGATTCATAGGCGAGGGAGGAGCGAAAGGCGGGCGCGTCGAGCACCTGTCGCGACACGTTCGGCAGGAGCACGGCGGCAGCGGGGAATCACGTCAGCTTTGTAGGCGTGCTCTCAGCGTGGGACACGGTATCAGCAGGGCAGCGAGAAGGCTGGCGCGGGGAGCTGCAGGTGGCAGGCATGGTCGGGCGGAGCGGTGTCGTGTTCGTGTCCAGCCGCGGGGCGGCTTCGATTGGCTGAGGCCGGCGCCCGGCGCCGCGGCGACGTTAGCCTTGCAGTTTCAGCGTCAGCTTTGCAGAGCGGAGACAGAGGCGGTCGGGCTAGTCGCGTCTCGTCGTTTCGGGTAGAGGGGCAGTGTTGGTTCGCCACGGCGAACGGCGAGGTCAGCGGCGATCTCGACAGGGCATCGGGCACGGCGGCGTCGGCTTTACAGGCGCGGGTCAGTGGCTTTGCAGGATTGGCGCGCAGCGGGGGACAAGGCTTTTGGCCGCGACGCGTCGTCAATGGTTCGTTGTGCTCATCGCGCAGTTTGCACGCCAAGTGCTTGTTAAAATGCCTGCAAGGAGGGAGAGAGAAAGGAAGGTGGGGGAGGGATGGGGCACTGGTGCGGCTGGCATGTGGGGTCCAGGGCTCCTGGGCTCACCGCTCAGAGAGGAGGAGAAGAAAGAGAGGAGAGGCGATTTTCCTGAAAATTTTGGTGAAAACTGAGAGTGTGATCGAATTTTCAGGATATGCTACAGTGTAGCAAACACCTGTGCATAGATAACTGGGAATAAATGCGATCATGAACTTCTTTTGGTGAATTTTTGAGACTTTTGTCATGTGTACTTCTGTGAAAATTCAGAGAAGTTCACTGTTTCATTTCAATTTGAACTGGTTTCGATTGTTTTGACATATTTAATTGACGTGCAAAACTAAGGTACAAAGTTGTCAAACTTTTCCAGAACATTATTGAAGGTGTCTACTGTTTATAAAAAACCCATATTTTTACTCCTCTTAGATTTAATACTTTCACTTTTCTGTTTTTCAATGCAAGTTCATTTTCTGCAGCCGTAACAGGATGCCCAGCTTGCTGGCGCTGCAGCAGCCAGCAGAAACGATCAAGCCCATGGAGCACAGAGAAAACGCTTTGGAAATAAAAGTAGTGCATATAATACTTGCAGAGAAGCAGCCGTAGAATAACTGATGGCATTAGATGAAGCACCCGATATTCTTATACGGATCAGGTGACCGATTACGAGCAATCTCCAAAACTAATCCTACCTGGATGGGACAACCAGCGTTTCACTACTCTGCAGAGGCCACAAACCACATCCAGTCCAATGAACCAAGAACATCTTCAGGGATACAAAACTAACAGCCAGCCTAATAGCAGAGGCAAGAAACAAATTATAGACCTGATGTCGACTGGTCTCAGACTCTCGGTCGTTCGAGAACCCTTTTGCTCCATGTATCCAGGCACCTCCTCTCATCAGCAATTTGCTCCATCTCTGCAGGAAAGAAACCTTATTAGTTGGTGATATTATTTGGTACCACTTAAATTTTGGTGACAGGAATGTAGTTTTCTGACAAAGTCAATTACTGAATATAAAAAATATTTGCACAGCTCTGCATCAACAGTTGTCCAAGGGATGCCTCAAAAATCTGTGCAGATTATCAGTCGTCACGCAGAAGCAGAACATCGTGGTGTGCTAGGTCTGCTTCTTGCACTGGGCCATGAATCCGGTGGGTTGTTAGGTGGTGTTTAGGAAGGAGGGACTAAACTTTAGTCCCTTTTACAAAAGCAAGTCTTTATGGGAGGGACTAAAATCTCTCCTCTCTTAGGGCATCAGCAATTTATGCTATCGACATGGGTATTAGCGTGGGCCCAGATGACAGGTGGTAATAGAGGGAGACGCGCTCCACATTGCTTATTTCCGTGAGTTGGCGGTAAGGTGGGGTTCATGGGGTAAAAAAATCGCAGCAAGGACAGAGCATGCATGCGACGGTTGGGAGAAGCAATGGTAGCCTGTTTTTTTTTTTTCTTTTGCTATCAGAAAACACTGTATACATACATATTCTATTTCCTTGCTTCCGGCGGTAGGGGTATGACCCGGTTGTAGTTATGTACTACTCCCACAATGCTTAATACCACGTAGTAATTAAGAATGTATTTATTGCTTACTATCCGGTTTGTGAGCGTATTGCTGATGCCCTTATTCTCTTATTAAGATGCACAACTCTTTTGTATTCCAAAAAAAATCCTGTTGATAGTAGCCACGGTGCCATTAGGTACCGTTGAACCTAACAGATATTTATGCATGTGTATATATATTGCTATATAGATAAAATTGGTGCCGATTATAGACCCAAAAGCAAGAGGTGTATAATATAATACAGACCACACGACCAAACTAAGAATCGATCAAATAGACAAGGCATGTCTCCAAATTGTCTTATACTATTTCCGTAGGTTCAGCCGTTCAGGAGTCGAATCAGCCTCTGCCGGCGTTTTCTTTGCACGTACGACGGACACACATGGGCATACCATATAGCTGGTCCATGACATTAGGAGAGAGAACGTACGTGTTGACCTGTAGCTGAGATATAACAAGGTTGATTATAATATCACCAAACATGAAATCATCCAAGGATGACCCATAACTATCACTACTATAGTACTGCATCTGGTAATAGAAATTGTATAGACTCTATTTCGAGCACTACCACATAACGCCTGCAATGTGACACCCTACCTGTTCACTAATGTGCCTCTTCCCACACGCTTTCCACCCGTACTGCTCACAGCTTTAAGAACCAGAACAAATGAGTAATATTAGTGTCGGTTCATGGCTAAAACCAGCACTGATGTACATGACCACATATGTCAAATGCTGCTTCTAGGCATGACCCGCTCTTACTAATACCTACTCATCGCTAGAAGAATTTTCGGCTGATAAATTTTCAATTTAAGCAAGAGTTATCCGCATTGGTTCATAACTCAAACTGATGGCCCCAACCATATTAGTGCAAATTTCACATATGATCATAACCTTTTCATATGAAATCGGGTCGAGGTGAACTTTATATAAAAACTGTAGCTGTAGATGATACCTACAATTTTATAGTTCACAACCTTTTTATTTCAAGTCATTTAAATGCCCAAATAGGTGTTTCAAATATCAGATAGAAATGTTCAAAAGTAAAAAAGGTCCATATTATAGCATAATTAATATGTAAGTGAGTTGGAAAAAAGATAAGTACGCTGAGAGAGGTCGGGGATCGAATTCTGGTGTAAAAATAAAAAATGTATGTATTTCACTCATAAAAATTGGTAGCAGCTAGTAGTTGGGACTCTGTATATACCGGTAAGGATGGGATGGTAGTAGAATAATTCCTTTTTTGTTTTTAGTTTTTTCTGGTCCCAAATTTAAAATTTGGATCCCTTACTTGTACCAACTAATATTAATGAGTGTTGAGGGTAGTAGAGATGCAACTTTACCATACTCCCTTTGTTTCAGATTATAATATGTTTTGACTTTGGTTAATATCAAACTACTTTAAATTTGACTGAGTTTAAGCGCAAATATAGTAATATTTATAATACCAAATTAGTTTTATTAAATAAATAATTGAATATATTTTCATAATAAATTTGTGTTGTGTTGAAAATATTATTAACTTTTTCTACAAACTTGGTTAAACTTGAAGCAGTTTGACTTTGACCAAAGTCAAAACGTCTTATAACCTCAAACGGAGGGAGTACTTTTTTTGTGGGAACAAGTTTACAATGTTTAATAAAAGCACAATCCATCTTAATGTTTTCAAGCTGAATATTGTAAAATTCATGGATAAACCAGCTTCTAAATGTTTAATTGGGAAAATGTCGAATGACAAATTAATATTTTTAAGTGGAGGGAAGTATTAATATTTCAATATCGTACTAAACTGTGGGATTTATTTTCTAAAATTTTATACCCTGCCAATTCACGTGTTGTAGATCTTTTTTTTTCACTAACCGACACCAGGTATATCAATTTTATTGAATATAGCAGCAAAAAGAATGTGTTGCACTTGTAAACAAAAAGCAAACTGTACATAAAAAAATGTACTAATGAAGTTCATAAAGATGCTTTGCTTAATGAGGGCCCAAAGTTTTGATGACCTTTTGCTTGATCTCGAAATTAAAATTCAAGTACTGTTAAGGGAGGTCACACCACCATCAATTTTCAGCCTGAAGAAACAGTTAAACAACGACCCCGATGACCAGTCTACTGCTCTCCACATACTAGCAGCATTATTGATCACAAAAGAAACCAAAATAAAAATCAGCACCGAGTGTGCAGAGGGAGACAAAGGTGATCTGGCAGTGGATATCTCCCCATCCATCCTCACCCGCGCTGCCCATCACTCGCCGCCGCATACTACATCATGTGGAGAGAGGAAGACGAGGACCACAGCCAGAGCCCGGGTCGAGATGCCACCACGGCCACAATCCACGAGCCCGGCGCGACACCACCGCGCGCGCGTGAGCCAGCCACAAACGCCCGCGGATAGGCGCGCGCACGCCGGCCAATCCTACCACATCCCCGGCCTCCGCGGCTCGCGAGCGCCGCTGCCATCCGATCCGCTGAGTTTTGGCTATTTATACGTACCGCGGGAGCCTGTGTGCAGAGCAGTGCATCTCAAGAAGTACTCGAGCAAAGAAGGAGAGAGCTTGGTGAGCTGCAGAGATGGCCCCCTCCGTGATGGCGTCGTCGGCCACCACCGTCGCTCCCTTCCAGGGGCTCAAGTCCACCGCCGGCATGCCCGTCGCCCGCCGCTCCGGCAACTCCAGCTTCGGCAACGTCAGCAATGGCGGCAGGATCAGGTGCATGCAGGTAATAACCTACTGACCCAACACACATTATTCTTCTTCTTCTTCTTCTTCTTCTTCTTCTTCTTCTTCAACATTAACCAATAATTCAATTATCGTTTATTTAGGTGTGGCCGATTGAGGGCATCAAGAAGTTCGAGACCCTCTCCTACCTGCCACCGCTCACCGTGGAGGACCTCCTGAAGCAGATCGAGTACCTGCTCCGTTCCAAGTGGGTGCCCTGCCTCGAGTTCAGCAAGGTCGGATTCGTCTACCGTGAGAACCACAGATCCCCCGGATACTACGATGGCAGGTACTGGACCATGTGGAAGCTGCCCATGTTCGGGTGCACTGACGCCACCCAGGTGCTCAAGGAGCTCGAGGAGGCCAAGAAGGCGTACCCTGATGCATTCGTCCGTATCATCGGCTTCGACAACGTCAGGCAGGTGCAGCTCATCAGCTTCATCGCCTACAAGCCCCCGGGCTGCGAGGAGTCTGGTGGCAACTAAGCCGTCATCGTCATATATAGCCTTGTTTAATTGTTCATCTCTGATTCGATGATGTCTCCCACCTTGTTTCGTGTGTTCCCAGTTTGTTCATCGTCTTTTGATTTTACCGGCCGTGCTCTGCTTTTGTTTTTGTTTCACCTGATCTCTCTCTGACTTGATGTAAGAGTGGTATCTGCTACGACTATATGTTGTTGGGTGAGGCATATGTGAATGAAATATATGGAAGCTCCGGCTATATATATTTATACAAAGGGTACGAGATGGATGTGAATCCTAGAGCATATGTGTCCAACAATCAATTCGTCGACAATGAAAATTTGATCATGGAATTAAAAAATCATGCTTCTGTTGTTCATCGGAAATGCCTTTCTATACTGATTAGTGGATTTCCAAACTGAATTCACAAGAAAACATATATAATTGTTGTGTTCATCAATCTACTTCTTTTGATCAAATAAAAGATAATTTGACTTGGCAAAAAACAAAAAATACAGTTTTTCAGGTATGGAGGGAGTACTTTTTTTTTTTCAAGATTGTCACATGCAAATAGGCAATAATACACTCTTTTTATAACTTGTAAGTGTTTTTTTACCTTTTTTTTGCTACATATTAAATACCAAAACAGTGTATCGAAAAGCAAATCTGTACGACGACCAAATGGCTAAGTGGTGTAATTGTGTGTCAGTCCAGTCCAAGTCCAACAGAAAGGTTGGCAGATGATACCCCAACGGTGTTGCGCTTTCTTTTTGTCCATAATTTCTATTTCTAGTTTTTTTTTAAAAAAAAACAAGCGGTCAGTTAATAAAATACGGTTGGACCAACTGCTTTCTAATTTTATCCCAAAAGATTGCTCTCCAATGGCAAAAACGTAAAAGCAATTCTAAGGCCCTTCACAATGCGGGGACGTGGACCGGTGCTCCACCGCGCTAGCTAGGATTCGCGCTTGCGTGGCGTAAGGTTGCGCGTCCCACCAGAGGCGCTCGCTCCCGCGGAGGGAAGCGCGCTTCCTCGCTCGCGCTGGAGCAGAGTAACGGCTGGAGCCTACACTGTGGAGAGCGTGCCTCCGACTCGCCGTCACCTCGCGCCCTCCCGCTCCGCGTCGCCGACCTCATCGTCGTCCTGGGCTCCGCTTCGCGCTGCCGCCTCCGAAACCTCATCGCCGGCCGGAAGTGGAGACAAAGCGAGGAGGACGACGACCATGAGCAGCTCCGTCTCCTCGTCGTCGGCCGAGAGAGGAGGAGCCCAGATCCGCTCTGCCACCATCTCCAGAATCGCGCCACCGCCGCCGTCCTCCCGCCGGCGCTTCTTCAAGGACGCTACCGCCACTGCTCGGCCCGGAGGACGCTGCTGCTGCCGCCGCACGGCATGGAGGACGCCGTTGCTCGGCCCGGAGGAGAGGAGAGCCGGCGCCGGCTGAGGGAAGAGGGGAGCCGGAGCCGGCGGAGGGAGCAGGGGAGAGCTAGCATGGTGAGTGACGGAGGAGGAGACGGGCGTGATGACTGAGGGAGTTGGGGATTTGGTAAAGCAGTATATGTGGGTCCCACTAGCGGTGCTTGCACTGTGAAGAAAGTGTCTTTGAAGCTCTCTATCCTAGGTGCCACCTTGTGGTACCTCACAATGTAAGTCATTCTAGCATTTCCCACGTTCATATTTCCCACAATATGAATGTGGCTAGAATGACTTGAATTGTGAAATGGAGGGAGTACCCATTAAAGTTGGATAAAAATAAACATTGTGATGATATGATGCATGAAGGAGCAAGTTGGTCGTTAAATTGAAGTTGTACTGAAATGTGAAAAAATATATATGCCAAATGCAAGGTAATTCATTAATTAATCATGCTTGGAGCACAACGCTCTTACAAAAAGATAAGCAGCAAAATGCTAAGTGCTAACCAATGTTGAGAAGCCACTTCAGTAATCTTGGCAAAAAGAAAGAAGGAAAGAAATTAAAGAAAAACTCACTTCAGCTTGTATATATCTTTCTTTTACAACCATGAGTCCATGATCGATAAACTTATCAGTAGCAATTAAATCACTGCAACTGATCAGATCTCTTTGGCTGGAAATAAAGGAGCAACGGGCATATTACTTCGTAATCATCTCTGAAACTTGTCAAGACGAGCAGCTCGACGACTCGAACGTGGAGACCTTTCGGCGTTTGCTGCCCAGCAGCGACGCACTGGGTGCGAAGTCGAAGCCTGAGCTGACCTTGCCGAGCACGGACTGGAGCGCGTGGCGGACCGAGGCTATGGCGGCGGCGGCGTCGCGAGACCCGCACGATACAAGGAAGGCGAGCCTGACCTGGCCGCCCAGCGTGGTGACCTCCGAGCCGACCACCTCCAGCCCGAGCCTGAGTCGCGCTCTCCACTGCCGTTCGGTTTCGATGGATGAGGAAGCGGCAACTCTGCTTTGCGACGGAGAGGAGCGAGTGAGCGAGCGACGCTGACCGTGGGACCCACGAGGAGAAAAATTAGTGTCAAATTTACCCTAATCAATCTTAATACTTTACTAATCTACCCTTAAAAATAAATAAACCGTTCCGATTAGTTCTACTGGCCTGGCAGCATAATACTATCGGTAGAGAGCATCGCCCTAGAAGAAAAATCCAGAGATCTCCTATCTTGTACTGCACCACATTCGTCTACCCTTTACATTTTCTCATCCAGCCATCTGAAAGACCTTGGTGTCATAGATGGCACGGTTCGTAGTCTCGCGGATGGCAGCATGGTGTCATGAAGTCCTGGAAGGAAGTGGAATGTTGCAAAGAAGTCAAATGTAGCGACATGGCATTCGAAGAATTCTTGAAGAGTTGAGGAGGACCAAATGAGGAGGTAGGCAGTGTGTGGTCGATACTTCCAGATTCATTGATACCAATCATACCCCTCTTAAATCAATGGCTAGATGTGATTGGTACCTCGTCTCGTGGTTCCTGATACCTCGTGGTACCTCACGGTATCTCCTCAAGAGTGGTAAAATATCTTCCAAGGAAAACTTCGGAATACGACTCACAAGCATCTGGATTGCGCTGAAATGATGTAACTGATATAAGAAAAAAGAAGTAATATATCAAGTCTTAAAAAATAAAAGTCCATCAGTAGCAGGCCGGTATAACCCAAGTTCTCTGCTGTTGTTCTCCAATGTTTCCTCTACTAGTAACCTAGCTTTTGTGCTAGTTACCTTGTTAGTAGACCATGGTAAGAAATTGTGACCTACAACTAAATAACCTATAAACATCCTTTTTTTTTTTACTTGTTGTCATGGGCATTGGGCTGTAGACCTGTAGGTAACCCATATCAATTAATTAGAGATAAGATTGGATTGAATCCTTTCTTAGGCTGTGTTTGTTTCCCTGTGTTCCCAACCTCTCTCACTCGTGTTCTGCGCGCACGTTTTTTAAACTGCTAAACGGTTTGATTTTTGAGAAAAGTTTCTATACGAAAGTTGCTTTAATAAAATCATATTGATCCATTTTTTGAAAAAATAGCTAATATTTAATTAATCACATGTTAATAGACTGCTCTATTTTTCGTGCGGAGGGAATGAGTTCCCATCTCAGAGAAACGAACTTAGCCTTAGGGGGTCAAGCTATACCAACTATATAAGGATGGGATTGTGTATATTATCTGCAAGCAAATAGTCTAATCTATCTGTCCCAATAATATGTTTCTCCCTTATTTAAATCTATATCCCTTCTTCGGAAGCCGACGTCGCCCATGTATCTTTTCAACAGTGTTTATCTCATCATTGCCTCAGGTCATGAGACTTGTTGACATACATACCTCGGACTTTAGTAAAAATCGGTGCTTGCTCTGTTTGTTAAGCTCTGTTTTTGTTCCTACGCGCTATCTGCCGCCGAGTAATTTGTTTGCTGTTCTTTTTTCCAGACAAAACCTTATTCTACTGCCGGTTAGTACTTACTTCCTCCGTTTCACAATGTAAGTCATTCTAGCATTTTTAATATTCATATTGATGTTAGTGAATCTAGATAGATATATATGTCTAGATTTATTAGCATCAATATAAATGTGGGAAATACTAGAATGATTTACATTGTAAAACGGAGGAAGTAGTAATCATTAATGTAGGACCAGTCCATGTAACCGTTGATCCATTATGAGTCCAACCCTTCCGTGGCCTCCATACCCCATACAACGATCGAAGGAAATAAAAAAGATGGGACAGTGTAATTAAAAGCACGGGACGCAGTTCGATCTTGTCAAACCATATGTCGGCCACATTTGGATCTCTACCATACCAATTCATTTGTTGGTAGTGTTAAAATCTAAATAATTAGTTATGTGGCTTATGTTAGAAATGAGTTTAATACAAAGTCCGTGGCGGAGCTAAAAAAAATTACTGAAGTTTTTACTGGCGAGCCCATGTATGAAGTCAAAATTTGATATTGTATTGAAGTCTGTGAAGAAACTTCTAAGATTTAGCCAAATTAAACATAGGCACTATTAATTAGTTGAGCTTAATCCCACATTTACTATTTGGATCGTTGAAAAAATAGGCAAGACACATTTTTGACATCAATCCAAAATGTCCCATCATCGAAGCAGACCAATTAGCAACAGGGTTCACTATATCAGTTTAGGGTTTTTGATCGGGGGTCACTGAAATCCCGAAATTTCAGAAATTTTAGAAATTTTGGTACAAAATTTTGAACAAAATTTAGTTGAATTTGAACAAATATTACCCAAATTCATGAAAAAATTGAAAATTTCAAAAATTTCGGCCGAATTAATATCGTATCGGAGGAATTTCGGTCTGAAATTTCCAACCCTGATTAGCAGTGAGCGAGGACGCTCGATGGATTGACGTGAGTGGCCCCTGATCAGTGATCACTGACGACGGCGAGATGCGCCGAGTACGTTCAACCAAGAAGAGAAATCCAGTGCAGACTATACTGGATTTCTTTGGCGGATTCATGCAATGCACGGATCAGCTCCGACCTACATCACCGTTGAGTGAGGTTTGTGAGAAGACTCTGTCGGGGTCACCTAGCCTGGGTACATATTACAAACTGTGTGGAGCGGGACTGAGCTATTCGTTAGAAACACGGGTAGTAAATTACAAATATAGACGCCCATATTGCTCGTAAATTTTGTATTTTTATGTAACACATATATTCTACCTCTATTAATATCTTCAAAATATTGAAACGTCATAATTTAAGTTTGGCAAAGTCATCACATGAATCTCGTTATCAATGGGTATGTGTCAGGGTTACGGGTCTGGCATACCCTCTACCCTTCGATATACGTTACGTATCGACATGGCATACCCACGCGTACGTGGATATTTCCTTCATAATCTAAGAAAACTTCTCACGAAATCAATAGACGGGAAGAGTCCTTCTCGGACAAGAACTGGGTTACCTACGTATTGTGCTAGGTCTAGTGTGTTCGAGTCCTACTCGGAGAGCATCAGACCTATGGTATAAAAGGGACCCCCGGGGAGGGCATAGATCATCGAATCTCAGAGCCAACACAACCCACACAGCCTACGAAGCCGGAGCCTGCGAGGAGCCAAATCGACGAGAGCTAGTCGGATCAACTCGACTACGATCTCGTTGGATCCGACAAGTTCCATCTTTTCCTTTGTAACCTGTGTTTTCTACCATATAATCCCATATCAACTGGATTAGGGCTATTACCTATCAAGGGGCCTGAATCAGTATAATTCTTGTCTTTTGATTGCTCGATGTCGTACTACTTAGATCCTTGTACCAGCGTACCCCAATACCCTCTATATCCGGTCTACGGGTATCACCCGTCGACAGTATGTTACTTATCATCGAAAAATAATTAGCCGTAAATACGAGACTCGTACCAAATCTAGCAACGACTTGTACCTGAATATACTCATTTCACCTTGTTTACTTCCCCGGGCTGGCTATTTTAATTTGCACAGCTACATTTTGGCAAAGTCATCAAAATTTAAAACTTTCAACTCACTTTTTAAAACTATATATTTTTTAAAATCTATCCAAAAGTTTCTTCAATAAATTAGAAACCAAAATTATTTTTTGGGGTTTAAATATTGGTGAAAATATCGTTTGAATTTCATCAAATTTGATTCAACGTTTTTTATTTTAAATTTATGATCAAATAATTTAATCCCCTTTGATTTTACAAATGAATCTTGTTTGCATTTTTTTATTTTACACTAGCACAAATAAGTATGAGAAAGGAGCAATATTGTCATTTTGAAAGAAATGGAATAATGTACCAACAGAATATAGAGAAGATCCAAATGGAAACTCAAGTACATATAAAGAATTGGTACATAAACATTTTTCTACTATAATTAATGGTATGGAACAGAGGAGCAAATAATTTTTTTTAAAACAAGTGTTTCTAGAAAAAAAATGGTTAAATGAAATGGGGCATCAATGAAATAAAAAAATAGAGTAATTTTTTTAAAAAAAACTACAAATAGTAAAGATACAGATTTAAAATGTTATATCACAAAACTACAAATTTAATACTCACTCCGTTCCAAAATATAAGCATTTTTAGTTATGAATTTGGACATTGTATGTCTAGATTCATAGCTAAAAACAATGTCTAGATTCATAGCTAAAAATGGCTATATTTTGGGACGGAGGTAGTATTACATTTATAACAAAACAATAGATTTAAGTTCAAGTATCATAAAATTATAGATTTAATAAAAATATCTTATCACAAAACTACTGGCTTCAAATCCATTTAATCACAAAACTATAACACTTATAGCCCTATATGACATCAATACTAGAGATCTGATCTATAAAATCTATAGTTTTATCATAACTTCGATATATATCAAATCTTGTGATAAATTTAGTGTTATATGTGATACAATGTTTTAAATCTGTAGTTTTTTTATAGTTCGATAAAACGTATATACAGTTTTGTAAAATTTACTAAAAGGAATATATTTGCATGATGGTTTACTAAAAAGAATATATTTGCATGATTGTTTAAATGGTACGGAACGGTGGAGCAACGAAATTTTTTTAAAAATATTTGGATAAAATTGCAAGGTGCATTTGGTAAAAATTGGAACGGTGGAGCAACGAAATTTTAAAAATATTTGGTTAAAATTGCAAGGTGCCTTTGGTAAATAATGGTCCCGGCGGGGCTCGAACCCGCGACCTTCGGCTCATAAGATCAACGCTCTAACCAACTGAGCTACGGGACCAAACTGGGCTTAACTGAACATTACAGTTTTTATAAATTTTGAACAATGTGACCAAATCTGACCACTTATACCGTAGGTCTTATACAGTTCTTTTCCCACGTATATTTTGGTTTTCTCGCCTTGCATACTAAATGGAATTGGCACACTATAAAGATTCATTAACAAAAACAGGATTTTTTAAAAAATTTTACTATAGGACATTTTAAATTTGTAGTTTTCACTCTAGAACACCACATCAAATAACTCTTAGGAGAACACACTTTGTCATTATGATTATTTGTCAGCAGACATCGTACCTATTAAATTAGTGTTTTTGTGCGGACTAGTGAGAGGGGCCCATTAAATCGCCATGCGTGTTTTGCTTAGGCTAATTGCATGTGGCTCCTGTTCTCTTTCTCCTCGTCCTCTTCATCTCTCCTCCTCTCTTGCTTCTCCAGACAAATCAAACAAACAACATTGTTGAATCTCGACTAAAAATATTATACATAATTGATGAGTTGATAAAATTATATATAATTGTTGGTTCTGGAGTAATAAAAATACATTAAAAAGGGAAAAAAGCAATAGAAGGATGATGATGAGGGAGGCGCCGTCCAACACCACCGGTTCGCCAGCCACCCACCGACGACAGCGTGAGCATATGTAACTGTGGTGGCGACGAGCAGGAGCAGCCGATCGGAAGTCAGGGATGATAGGTGCGAGTAGCTCACTCCGGATCGGGTGTTAGGGATGGCCATCATGATTCGCCGATGTCAGGTCGGTCAGGGCATGAGTAGATCTGATGATAGCGTCGTGCGGACTAGCCGAGCCAGCGGCATTGACTAGTGAGGCAAATGGATTGGGGGATGGTGACTTGGGGAAGGCCAACTGGCAGAGATACTTACGATTTCGTCCCGCTCCTCTGCCTAGGACCTTGAGAGAGGAAGAGGAAGACGGGGATTAAAACGAAAAACTTTTTTTAGAGGCGGATGTCTTTTTTTATTCTAAATGCAGGATCAATATGGCCATGCCGTGTAAAAAAGTAGCTAGGCTCTCTCTCGCCTTGTCAACACGAAAGCACTAATTTAATGGATGCAGTATAGCTTGATAAATAAACCATGAAGTCACAAACTCGCAATGTCATGTAGCAAAAATTAACCTTTTTATTTATTTTTAAAGTAAAACCGGAAGTTGTCGCCGCTATGTTGATCGCAACGCCTTTTTCGGCTGAGGCACCCCGAGTCATTTACTTTAACCTCCACCAGTCACCGGCCCAGCCACACAACACAATACAGTCTGCTTGCGTTTTCCCGTGATCAGTCAGAAATTTCACGAGCCGGCATGCATGTGCATGCATCCACGACGGATCGATCATCTTCCAACCAACCATATTATATTACCTCTATATCTATATATACACACACACCCACACTCCTCCATTCACAAAGACCAATATAAATAATCCATCGACGCCACAGCGCAGCTAGCGCCCCCACAATGCACACTAAAGCTAGATCACCTGTAGCACTCGTGCTTCTCGTCGTCGCCATGGCGGCGTCGCCGGCGTTGGTGGCGGCGGCGGCGCAGCAGCAGCAGCTGGTGCCGTGCATGTACATCTTCGGCGACTCGCTGGTGGACAGCGGCAACAACAACAACATCCTGAGCCTGGCGCGCGCCAACTACCAGCCCTACGGGATCGACTTCTCCGGCGCGGCGCCGCCGGGGCGCTTCACCAACGGCCTCACCGTGGTGGACATGCTCGCCGACATGCTCGGCCTCCGCCCGCCGCTCATCCCGGCGTACGCCATGGCGCAGCCCGGCGACTTCGCCCGCGGCCTCAACTTCGCCTCCGGGGCCGCCGGGATCAGGCCCGAGACCGGCAACAACCTGGTAAGGGAGTAGTACGTACTGTACAGTACGGACGTGCCAACGTTAATTCAGACATGTTGATCATGTAGCTAGTAATAATTAATGACCACGGTTCAATATTACGGAAACCACCAATATTTTGAGGAGTAATACAATCGGTTTTGGAGATGTTGGAAATTTCCGGACAAAATTAATTTTAAAATTTCAGCAAAATTTGTCTGAATTTAATTAAACTAATTTTGCTGAATCCAAACTTTTCAACCGAAGAGAATGTGCTCTCGGTGTACCGATAGACCCGAAATTCAGTCTGAATTTTGGCCAAAATTTAAATTTTGGATAAATTTGCACTATATTTTTGACAAAAAATGAAATTTGAGTGAATTTAAGCAAAATTTGAACATATTATTCTGACTTGTTTCAGAAAAAAAATTGGCAGGATTTTAACAGATTTGACTTGTTTTAGGAAAAAAAAGGGATATTTTGGCGCAAAAAAAACCTACAATGGGACTAGCTGATAGAACCAAAATTTGTTTAAATTCAGCCAAAATTACTCATTTTCAGTTTCTTCAGAAATTTCAGTTCTATGGGTCACCAAAATATTTATGATTTCCGCGACATTAAACCATCTTCCTCAAAGTACATGTGGACACGCACCACACGCATGCATGCAGGGTCGGCACTACCCATTCTCGGAGCAGGTGGAGCACTTCCGGGCGGCGGTGCGGCAGATGGGGCCGAACGCCGGCTCGCCGGAGCGGCTCGGGCGGTGCATCTTCTACGTCGGGATGGGCAGCAACGACTACCTCAACAACTACTTCATGCCCAACTACTACACCACCGCGCAGTCCTACGACCCGGCCGCCTACGCCGCCGACCTCCTCCAGGAGTACTCCCGCCAGCTCGCCGCCCTCCACGCCCTCGGCGCCCGCAAGTTCGTCCTCGCCGCCGTCGGCGACATCGGCTGCATCCCCTACGAGCTCGCCCGCATCAGCAACAACCAAGACGACGATGACGCTGCTCCTAGTAGCGATTCCGGCACCGGCATTAGCATCTCTCTCGGCGGCGTCGGTCTGACCGTCGGCGGCGGCGGCGGCGGAGGGAGTACGCGAGCGGCGAACGCGAGCAGGAGCGGCGGCAATGGCGGCGGCGGGGCGTGCAACGAGGAGATCAACAGCGCGATCGCCATCTACAACAGGGGGTTGTTGTCCATGGTGAAGCGGCTCAACGGCGGCGGCGGCGGGGGGAGGATGGCGGGGGCGACGGTGGTGTACCTGGACACGGTGAGGACGGGGAGGGCGGTGGCGGCGAGCGCGGCGGCGCACGGGTTCGAGGTGCTCGACCGCGGGTGCTGCGGCGTGGGGCGGAACAACGGGCAGATCACGTGCCTGCCGATGCAGCAGCCGTGCGGCGACCGGAGCAAGTACGTGTTCTGGGACGCCTTCCACCCGACGGAGGCGGCCAACCGGATCTACGCCGCCAGGGCGTTCAACTCCTCCGCCGCCGCCGGCGACGCTTACCCCATCAACGTCAGCCAGCTCGCCGCCATATGAATCCAATGATTAATCTCGCTGACATATGATCGATCATTGATCAATGCATGCACTTACTTACGGCAAGAGCAGTGTATCTCGGTTGGAAAGAATTAATGTTGTACCCCTCATTCTCTAAATGTTTGACGTTGTCGACTTTTTTAAATATGTTTGACAATACGTCTTATTCAAAAACTTCTGTGAAATGTGTAAAACTATACCTCATTCCCTAAATGTTTGACGCTATTGACTTTTTTAAACATGTTTGACCATTCGTCTTATTCAAAAACTTTTATGAAATATGTAAAACTATATGTATACATAAAAATATATTTAACAATATATCATTTTCAAATGATATGAAAATAATTAATAATTACTTAATTTTTTTTAATAAGACGAACGGTCAAACATTTTTAAAAAGTCAACTGCGTCAAACATTTTGGGATGAAGGGAGTATTGTAGTAGTATATAGGTATTATTATCAGCTATTCCCATCGTTCCATAATATAAGGGATTTTGGTCGGATGTGACACATTCTAGTAATATGAATCTGGGCGGCCCAGATTCGTAGTACTAGAATATGTCACATCCCACCAAAATCTCTTATATTATGGGACGGAGGTGCTAAAGGGTTTGCGGGCGTGAAAGCATATATGAACTAAATACACAAAATAAAATAAATGTAGACAAACGCACTTTATTAATGACATTTTTCCCTGTTTACATGGAACACGTACATACATCACGCTCACGCGCAAAAAAAAAAAACGTCTCCTTAAGACGGAGGTCAACGGCAATTCAATGATATCACTACAATCCTATTAAAAGTATATAGTGCTACAAATAAACCCCTAATAGAGACTGGCTAATAAGCGTCAGCTTATTTAAAACCGATACCTATTAACCGTTTTCTAACTCCATAGGATGTAAAAGCTGGTACGTAGTATAGTAATGGTTTTTTAAAAAACTGACACCTATAAACTTTATATATATATATATTGATTAATTAAAAAATCGGTACTTATAATATATTATAGGTGCCAACTCTTTTAAAAACCTGCACCTATAAAAACCAAGCCAAGTTGATCAAGCCGAGCTTTATCCTCTCCCTCCTACCACTTCTCCTTTTCTTCGTCCCCCTCCCGTCTGCCACTCGCCAAATCTCCCCATTCCTCCTCTGCCGCAACGCCACCTCCCCTGCCATCGTGCTACACCTCTTCCGCTCTTCCTCCACCTCACCTCTGCCGCCTCCCCGTTGTGGCCGCACTCCACCTCCTTCCTCTCCTGCATCTGTCTTCCTCACACGTCGCCCTCTTCCTGAGCCTCCTCCACCATGAGCAGGAGCAACATCGTCCAGGCTCATCGATGGAGCTCGGCATGGAGATGGAGAAGAAGGACGCAGTCACCTCGGCCATGCCGGTGCAGGTGGCGCAGGCCGGGCAGCATTTGCCATCGTTCCTAGCATCATCCAGGCTTACCGATTGCCTCTCTTCCACCGTCACTTCACCTCTCTTCCACCACTGCCTCACCTTCACGGCCTCTCCGCTCACTTCCGCCACCTCCACACAACCATGAGCAGGAGCAACGCCGACAAGCTTCGGTAGTGATGAGCTCAAGGGCGACCAAAGCCGCCACGAGCTCAGGGGAGTTGACAATGAGCAGGAGCAGCGACGATGATGACGAAGGTCACTGCCATTGGTCTCCCTCTCCCCTTCTCCATGGTGGCCCTGCTGACGGATCTGATGATGGATTGGCTACAGGTGCATGTACAACTTAGGGCATTATTGATGGTTCATGTGGGATATTGTTCTTGTTCATGTTGGATGTGTTGTTCATCTGTTGATATGAGATCCGGAGATTATTTGTTGTTTATGAGTTGAACTGTTGATATGAGGAATTGGGAATCGATATGTGTTGATATGTGGAAATTGGGATGTGTTTATTTCTTGATACATTGTTATTAGGTGGATTTAGGCTAGGGTTGGGGTTGCTCGAAGTATCGGATCGAGCCGACTTCTTTTCTTTTGGCTAGTGGATTCCACGTGGTTGCCGGTTGTTAATCGACTATCTCTGTTTTTTTAATACACTATGCCGGACCATGCTAGCTGTGACGGGCCTAAACCATCACCTCTGACGGATTCAGCCTCTCGTCAGAGATTAGTGGTCAGTGATGACTCTCTTCACCTTTGACAGGCGAAGGACCGTCAGTGGTGACCAGCCCCTATGACGGGCCACGTGTAGAACCCGTCACAGGTAACTATTATCTCAAATGGCCCATTAGTTTGTGAGCCGTCAGTGATGTCTATAATCCAGAAAAAAAAGAAAAATAGATTGCAACCCGTCACACGTGTGAAAAAACCCTAGCAAGAAAATTGGCACACGCTGCCATGGTGGTGCTTGCTGTCATTAAACTGACCACATCACAAAAACTTCAAACTGACCAATAGTTCATTGTCCTCCATCACCGCATCACCATCTTATATAGCAATCATTTACAAAAGGGGATGGCAAAAATTTATCATACAACAATATCATATCATTCACAAAAGGGGCACAATGGCCGATAGTTCGTCGTCCTCCATGACGAACCAGCTACGAGAGACACAGGTGGAGACGCCGCGCTCGCAGCCGCCGGGGAGGCGGCGGAGGATCTCGAAGAGGCACTCCACTGCTGTTGCACTACCAAACAAAAATCAAGAAACAAGAAACCACCATTAGAGCCCACATTCTCAAACCAAACACCTCAAATCATCATCATCATCAACAACAACAACAACAACAACAACAACAACAACAACAACAAGGAGAAGATTTAAGTAAAAAAAAACAACAAGAAGAAGAAACCTCACCGAGGTGGCCGGTGGGTGGGCATGGAGGAGGCGGTACCTGGCGTTCAGATCTGCGCATCCCCGGCCTCGTGGAGGTCGGATCTGGCGGCTAGCGCGGTCGGTGGCGGAGCTAAGGGAGGCGTTGGTGGCATTGGTGGCCGGGAGGCGGGGGAGGCGCTGGCGGAGGTGGAGGCGTAGGTGGCGGCCGGCTAGCGCGGGAGGAGGCGAAGGCGCGGCTGGAGGCGTCGCCGGCAGCGGCGGCGGAGGTGGAGACCGCTGCCGCCGTCAGGCCTCGGCCGCCTCCCCTCCCGCCGTCGGCCGCCACCGCGCCACGGCTCCAGATCCGTCGTCCGCCACCCCGCTTCCCCTCGCCCCTGCCGGATCGGGCGGCCGAGCCGCCGCCGCGCCTCCCCTCCCGCCCCTGTCGGATCTGGCGGTCGGGCCGGCGCCGCCGCGCCTCCCCTCCCGCCCTTGCACAAAGAAAGAGAGGGGAGATAGAGAAGAAGTGGAAGAGATAGAGGAGAAGTGGAGAAGAGGGTGCCGGCCGACCTTATCTCCTCCTATGGGCCCCGCTGGGAGAGGAGATATATATATATATATATATAGTGGCAGAAGTCATCTCAAACGGGCTAAGACTTAAAGCCGTTTGAGGTGAGTAAACCTTACCTCTGACGGGCCGTCCGGCTGCGATCCGTCACAGGTAAACCCGTCACAAGTGACTAGTTACCTGTGACGGGTCGCAGCCGGATGACTCACCGATGACGGCATCCCGTATGACCCGTCAAAGGTGACGGTCATCAGTGACCATTTCGTTTGCCTATCACAGTTATCCCGTCAGAGGTGTGAGGATCTGGTGTAGTGATAGTTTACACCGTTAACTTTTTGTTACACGTTTTACCATTCGTCTTATAAAAAAATTTACGTAATTATAATTTATTTTGTTGTGATGCCATCTATTAGGAAATGGAGGGAGTATAACGCATATCTATCGCACCATGGCCCCCATCCTAGTCGGAAACTAGGAAGAAATTAAAATTTACTCCTCCTACGACTCCTATTCGGAAACTGGTAATTTGGGCATCGAATCAAACCAGAGCGGATAGATCGCAGAGGGTTTGCTCCTCGTAACGGATTGCATTGCTCGATCCCTCCCCGGCCCCTACCAAATTCACCTCCCTGGCCGATAGCGCCGCACCGCAGTTATCCACCTCCTCCGGCCGGCCGCCGGCCAGTCGACCAGTCGAGTCGGAGGCGGAGTGCATCGATAGATCGATCGGTTTCCATCGGAAATAATCGGAGAAGGTTTCGTTTCCTTCATTAACCCGGATCGATCGGGAGGAATGCGAGGAGCGTGCGTTGGGTACGTGAGGCTGGAGGAGAGGAAGAAAACGCCGCCGCCGCCGCCGCAGCCGGAGATGATCCCCGGGCAGCATACGGTGGAGATAAGGAGGATGATATACCTGACGATCAAGCTGGCCACAAGCTTGCTGAAATCAAGCTCGAGCCTGCCCAAGAGGTAGCAACTGCACTTTGGTTCACTCGTTTCTTCTTTAATTATTAGAATTGTCTTTCAGTTTTTATTATGGTAACTAGCAGATTGCGCGGCAAACATCATTATATTTTCTCTCATATAATAGTATATATGTTTTCTCAATATATTATTCAAATTTTTTATAATGACATCAAAATTTTAAATTTTGCAATAACTTTACGAAACTACAAATACGTAATATTCATATTGTATTTTATATACGTGTTAGTTATTAATTATTTTTAATATCAAATTTTAGTTATTTGTAAATTATATATATTCCTATATGTACTCTAGACTTGTCTTTTTTTTTTAATTCTGAATTTTCTATAAATTGTATTTCTATATAGACTCTAGGCTCTTCTTCTAATATTATTTATTTTTATTTCTGATTTTTTATTATTTCTAATTATATTTCTACGTGGACTCTAAACTCATCTCTCAATATTCTTTAATTTTTAATTTTGAATTTCAGTTACTTCTAAATTGTATTCCTATATTGACTTTAAACTCTTCTTCCCATGTTTTTCTTAATTTTGAATTTTAGTTATTTGTAAATTGTATTTTTATATGGACTCAAAACTCTACTTTTAATTTTGTTATGTTTATTCCGAAGTTTAGTTAGTTTTAAATTCCTATATGGACTCTATACTCTACTTCTAATATTCCTTATTTTTAATTCTGAATTTCAGTTATTTCCTAATTGTATTTCTATATGGACTCTAGTGTCCTCTTCTAATATTCCTTATTTTTTAATTCCGAATTTCAACTATTTCTAAATTGTATTTCTATATGGACTCTAGTCTCCTCTTTTAATATTTCTTATTTTTTAATTCCGAATTTCAGCTATTTCTAAATTGTATTTCAATATGGACTATGATTTTTCTTTTTCTTCGATTAATGTGAGAATTTCTAAGCCATGAGAGCGAACGTGGAGACTCCTTTTTCTATTCCTTTAATAATATAATAGATTTTGTTAATTTCCTTATTAGAAAAACAATAGCCTTGAGCCAATTAACAAAGACAATTCTAATAATTAAAGTCTAGCTCAAGGCCTAGCACAAAGAGAAGCTTAGGGTAGCTAGGCCTTGAGCTAGATTTGTCTACTAAACTAGATAGAACCCCGCGCGTTGTCGTGGGATTTTGTGTACAGTAATATATTATAATCAAATAAAAATATACTCCAAAGAGAAGTCTGAAATTATAGTTAAAAACTTTATAAACTCTGTTGTCTAGTAGTACTAAATTATGAAGATGTATATATTTTCTTTTCTAAGAAACATGTTCCTAGATGTGTGTGTCTATATATTTCAACCGATGGTAAGGCAAAAGAAGATATCAAACTCCAAGGGTCGGTGAGTAATGATGGGACGGTGGTACTCATAACAATAGAACGGATATGTACTTTGTCAACTAAAGCTCAATCGTTGTCATTAAGGAGGCCAGGCTCTTCAATCGCCTTAGTTGATTTGTGGATGGCATTAAGGAGGGTTGTTCAATCCTACTTCATGCATGCATGTTGATGAAACGCCCGGCTAGCAAAATTGTGGCATCGAATGCATTGAGTGCATGATGGAAGGAATAACTAAATGCAAGCTACAAAACGTATCACACTCAAAAGTAAATCTGAGCTGTCCAAGATAATCCAATGGTGAATAGTGAAATGGCTTTGAGATAATCTGGAATGTTGGATTTCAATCTAATGGCTAAAAAGAATTAAGGTGATGTAGAAGCACCACAAGTGAGAAAAATACTAATAACTATACTTAGTGGGGATCAACTATATATATTATATAGATATAGATTACTATTAGATTCTCTCAAAACTCAGTGAAAATTTTGAAAAAGAAATTAAAACAAAAGATATAAACAAGTTCAACCCCCCCCCTATGGAGATGGATTCGAATCACTCCGGTGGACGTCCACAGTTCCCCTCTACTCTTGAAGATTTCTTTCTCTGTGCCTGATAGCCTAGTTTCTCAAAATTGATACTGTACTACTACCTCCGTTTTAGGTTATAAGACTTTCTAACATTGCCCATATTCATATAGATGTTAATGAATCTAGGCACACATATATGTCTAGATTCATTATCATATATATGAATACGGGCAATGCTAGAAAGCCTTATAATATGAAACAGAGGAATTACTAGTTAGTTAGTACTTGGTCATTAAAACACTATTGATATTTCAGTGCGTGGATACATATCAGAACAATTTTGTGGTGATACTAATGCATGATTTCACGAACCATTTGGGAAGCCAGCTCCTGAACCCCAGATGATAATTTGTCAATGGAAAAAATAGTGAACCAAGTTGTTAGTAATAATTGTTAAGTAACAATACTAAATACTAGTACTAACTACGTGGGCATTAGGCATTTCAGGTTCAATTGACTTATTTAAATTATCAGGTAGCTGATTGATTTCTTTGGTCCTTCAGTGCTGAAATTTGCATGATATGGTTTTTCCCCTATGCATGCTAACTGTTGCATGTTTCATTTCTCAGATGGAATTATGCATTATGCTCCTCGAGTGTTGCTCTCAAGAGAGAACCTACCTTCCATATTACGGATTACTAGCACAAAGATTGTGCCTAATCAACAAAGTTTACCAAAAAAACTTCGAGAAATGTTTTGCGAAACAATATTCGATGATCGATCGTCTCGACACAAATAAGCTGGGGAATGTTGCCAACTTTTTCGCGCATTTGTTGGCCACCGACGCGCTTCCATGGCATGTTTTGGCCTACATCCGTTTGACAGAGGAGGATACCACGTCGTCTTCAAGAATTTTCATAAAAATACTGTTCCATGAGTTATCAGATCACCTTGGAATTCGCCAACTCAATAAGAGACTGAGCGATCCTAAAATGAAAGATTATTTTGATTCAATCTTTCTAATGGATCATCCGAAGAACACAAGATTCTGGATCAATTTCTTCACCTCCATCGGTCTTGGTGGTATCACTGAGACGCTGAGAGAGTACCAATGCCTGCAATGCAACAACAGAAGTCAGAATCAAGTTCTGATGAGAGTGGCAGAAACCCAAGTAAGAGAAGGAAGATGTAAAGAGACGGATGGAAGAAGAGCTCCATGAAAATTCAACTGTGCTTATGGGGGATGCAACTGTCGTCACAATCGGCATCGTCAGATTTGTTCAGTGCGATTGTTTTGTTGGATCAATCTTCCTCTATCTGTATCCATGTGTAATATCAGATGATGTTTGTTGCTTATCGAATTCAGGAAACCAGCCATAGCAGATGTTTTCTGCAGTGCAAGTTTTGTGCCTTCATAAACGGTTTATTATTGTTTATAGGTTTGACAACAGTGATGAAGAAATAATTTTAAGGATAAAATGCTATAACAGGCAGCAGCTAAGCAGGATTAAAAATGATGTACCTTTTTTATGTGAAATATGATTTACCTTTTTGTAGATGAAATATTATGATATACATTGGAAACACACGTAGGTTTCACTTAAGGTATAAACTTTTGCACCCTCTTGTTATATTTCTCGTCTACATAGATAAGTGGTGGAAATGAATGGTAAGAAAATTAAATCCAGCAGGAAAATAACATCAAACATGTGTACAAAATAACAGACAAGATTTCACAGAATTCAACTTTGGTTGATCTAGAATCCCCTTTCAGGCCACTCAGTTGCTGCTCCCTGTCAGACATGGCATCATATGTGGCAAGTCATGGTAAAAGCGTGGAAACCCATCTACAGCCGTTGTGCTTGGCGTCTGACCAGGAACAGCCACAGAAAATATGCCCCAATTTGCAAGCACAAATCACACCGTCTTCAGTAGGGCAGACTATCAGTAGCTCCTGCTGACTTTCACACTGGAAATGAGCAGCAGATCACCCACATCTGAGTTCTTACAATACCAGGCGTGAGGTCGAAATGCAAGCAAAAACTTGTTGCTTTTGTTGACTAGTAAGATTTCATTGCCGTATGACCGGGTGCAGGGGAATTCCATGAAGAGGACGCAAATATCACATTCAAATCAACTGGACCAGACACTTCATCATGACTCGAATGACAGAGATAACATAATACTACTGCCAAAAAGAAAAAAGGAAAAGAGGATCAGTATTTTCTTCTAACAGTAGTCACTATATAACATGATCCGAAGTGTCATTCATGAGCAAATATATATTTTTGCATATTACATTTGCATCCATTCATTCACACAGAAAAAGAAGAAAAACAGAATGGCTGAGCCCAGGTTTCCTCCTCCTGAAACTCTGAAGATAGCATTGCTGTGCCTTCTCCTCCCCTTGTTCTCACCAGCCACAGCATCCATCCCTTCTGCTGCATCGACGTCGTCGGACCGGAGCTGCATCGCCGATGAGAGGGCCGCACTTCTCGCCATAAAGGCAACCTTCTTCGACCCGAACAGCCGCCTCGCATCATGGCAGGGCGAGGATTGTTGCAGCTGGTGGGGTGTCAGGTGCAGCAACAGAACCGGCCATGTCATCAAGCTGAGACTCCGTGGGAACACAGACGACTGTCTCAGCTTCTATGGAGACAAACTCAGAGGTGAGATGAGCTACTCTTTGGTCAGTTTGCAGAAATTGAGGTATCTAGACTTGAGTTGCAACAACTTCAATTGGTCACAGATACCGGTATTTCTTGGTTCTCTTCCAAGCCTTAGATATCTCAACCTTTCATATGGTTTCTTCTATGGAAGTGTACCCCCCCAGCTTGGCAACCTCTCCAAACTTGCCTACCTTGATCTGACCTCTTATTCATACAACCAGCTATACTCGGTTGCCCTTTCATGGCTGTCACACCTATCCTCACTGAAGCATCTGGTCATGAACCATGTGAACCTTACCACTGCAGTAGATTGGGTTGATGAAATCAACATGCTTCCTGCTCTGAAAGTACTCTACCTGAAACAGTGTGGGCTGAGGAAAACAGTTCCTTTCCTTCGTCGGTCCAATATCACGGGGCTCGAAGTGCTTGACATCTCGGGAAATAGATTTCACACCAAGATTGCTCCTAACTGGTTTTGGAATATAACTAGTCTCTCTGCTCTTGATATCCGATCGTGTGGTTTCTTTGGCTCAATTCCAGACGAAATAGGCAGGATGGCCTCTCTTGAAGAAGTCTATTTCCAAGGGAACAATCTCATGTCAACCATGATACCCTCAAGTTTCAAAAATCTATGCAACCTGAAGGTGCTGGATCTACGAAGTACCAATACTACAGGGGATATCAGAGAATTGATAGAAAAGTTGCCAAACTGTCACTGGAACAAGCTGCAACAGTTGGGTTTATCTTATAATAATATTGGTGGAACCCTGCCAAATTGGTCAGAACCTCTGGCCAACTTAACTGTCTTGCTTCTCTCCAATACTAACATCTCAGGAGCTATGCCATCGTCGATATGGGCTCTCACAAAACTGAACATTTTGGATCTTTGTTCCAATAAGCTCAATGGCACAGTCAGGGAAGATCAATTAGGAAACCTTACAAATCTAGTGTACTTAGGGTTGGGCAATACACATCTACAGATTAAAGCCAGCTCAGATTGGATTCCTCCATTCAAACTGCAGGTAGTTCTCTTCTATTCTTTGCAGCTAGGGTCAGAAGTCCCACCATGGCTTAGATCACAAACAAGCATTCAACACCTTCAAATTGCAAACACAAGCATTACTACAATCCCAGATTGGTTTTGGATTGTGTTTTCAAGAGCAGATTTTTTGGATGTGGCATATAATCAGATAACGGGAACGCTACCAGCAACGTTGGAGTTTATGGCAGCAAAAACCATGGATCTGTCCAACAACAGATTTACTGGTATGGTTCCAAAATTTCCAATAAATGTAACATACATGTACTTGCAACGGAACTCATTATCAGGACCACTGCCATCAGATTTCGGAGCCCCGTTGTTACAGTCACTTACTCTCTATGGCAATTTAATATCAGGCACCATTCCATCTTCACTGTTCTCACTGGAACACTTGGAAATATTAGATCTATCTGGAAATAAACTTAGTGGCGAAGTTCCAACTTATCAAGAAGATTCAAATCCACGCACACGACAACTCATTGTCGTAAACTTAAATAGTAACAACCTCTCTGGAGAATTCCCATTGATTTTCAGAAGTTGCCCGCGCCTAGTTTTTCTTGATCTATCCTATAATCAGTTTTCTGGAAATTTACCACTGTGGATGGGAAAGAAGTTTCTGCCAATTTTATCATTGTTGCGTCTACGGTCAAATATGTTTTCGGGACACATTCCCACAGAACTTACAAGGATTGATCAATTACAGTTCTTAGACCTCGCTGAAAACTACTTCTCTGGAAGCATACCTGACTCTTTGGTTAACTTGAGTGCAATGGCTCGCACATCTGGATACAGTGTTCTTCTAGATGAAGTCATCGCAACTGGTCAAGGTGCAATGTAAGATATAAATTATTTCTATGAACTGGTATCAGTTCAAACAAAAGGGCAGCAACTTGAATTTTCAAGAGGAATTTCACGTGTGGTGAACCTCGACTTGTCGAAGAACAAGTTTACTGGAGCAATCCCTTGAGGCATTGGTGCTCTTGTTGCACTAAAAAGTTTGAACTTTTCTTGGAACCTCATAAATGGGGAAATCCCGGAGACTATTGGTCAGCTCAAACAACTGGAATCTCTTGACCTATCTCACAATGAGCTTTCTGGTGAAATCCCTTCGAGCATGCAGGATCTTAACGCTTTGGGCACCATGAACCTCTCATACAACAATCTATCTGGAAGAATTCCAAGAGGAAACACTATGGGATCATATGACGCGTCTTCCTACATTGGAAACATTGGTCTATGTGGTCCTCCTTTAACTAGAAACTGTTCTGGAAATGCGACAAGCAAAGACTTACCTAGAAATCATGTTGATTTGGAACATATATCCCTTTATCTTGGCATGGCTATTGGATTTGTCCTCAGCCTCTGGGTGGTTCTTTGTTTGCTGCTGTTCAAAACTAGTTGGAGAAAATCCTATTTCATGTTTGTTGATAGACAGCAGAAGAAGATTTATGTTAGTGTAAAAATTAGAAGTGCCGTCTTAAAGAGGAAGTTAGGTGCAAATAATCATTGATGTATCTCTAGTCTCTAATATATACAAGAATGTAGTGGTTATTGTGCGGTGTTGAGTTTGCTTATTAACCACCATGCCTTGTGTTGGTGGCATCTTCTATGTATAATTAATCATTTGCATGTATGGCTTGTAATAAGATAATTGTGTGATACACATATGCAATATTGTTAAGTTCACAAACTTATGGTATTTTATCTAAGTTTTGGTTCTCTTCTATTTCTATAACATGGGAGTAGCTATATTTATGGCGCTATATTTTTCACCAAAAAATAGTTGTCATGTATTTAGATTGTAAGTCCCTAAATTACATGTGTAATTTTAATGTATTTACAATGTAAGTCCCAAAATTACATATATAAGTCCAAAATTTACATGGTAATTATATATTTAAGTGGTGTGTAAGTGGGGTGTAACTATTGTGTAAATTTCATTTGATGTATTTTTATCTAAAAATTTGTCACCATATTTTTATAGCTGCTAACGTCTTAAAGGAAATCAAATGATCTAGAGATCGACTGTAAACAAGACAAAAATGTGGCGACAGTGGTTTAGCAAAACCGTAACATAATGTGGTAGCATCTTCCTTGTCATATACTCGTAAGTCATAAGTAGCAAATTATTCAGTGATTAATTCAGTTGATTCCATGACGCCAATCTATACCTTCTATTTTTTATTACTATTATTTTTCCCCAATTTCAAGCCCTACAATTGATTCAGTTTGAAATTAAAAAGATGGAAAATGTGTTTGTGAGACTTGTGAAAGGGGGTTCGTTTCAGAAATCTTACCGGCCGGCGCCGATGCGGCAGTGCTCCGCGGATGGGAGGGGTTTCAGGGGCTAGCCGGCGGCGAGGGGGCTGGCCACCTTCGGGCTCGGGGCTCCAGCCTCCGCCGCTCTTGCTGCCGCGAGACCGCGAGAGCTTTGGCATGAGCGATGGTGTGCGTGTCGTGGCGTCCGGGTCGGCCGTCCGGGCGGCAGGCAAGGCGCCGTCGCGGTTTTGGGGGGACGGCGACCGGCGGCGGCTGCCGGCTGGAGCAGTGAAGCCCGAACCGAAGGCATCGGCTGCTGCCTTGTTGGGCCTTTTTTCTGGGCTTGCGGCTGTCAATTTGGGCTGACTAGGGGTGTGGGCTGCTAAAAGCAGAGTCCGCCCCTCCTCCTCTCCCTTCGTAGTTCCCGCATATAAAGAAACTGCATTAATAATTTAACGCGCAGATTGCGCGGTATCGTTAGCATTTTTTTGTCATATAATAGCTTAAATATTTTCATATTTTATTATTAAATTAATAACATAATTTTAAATTGAGTAAAATACACCAGCGGTCCTTAAACTTGTCAGTAGATTTCACTTAGGTCCACGAAGTTGTAAAGCGCACATCGAGGTCCCTAAACTTGGTTTATTGTATCATCCTGGTCCAAAGCCGCGTTTGACCGTGGTTTTAGCTTACGTGGCACGCCACGTGGACTATGACATGGATTTTTTATTTTATTTTTTCTCCCTTCTTCCTTCTCTTTTCTCTTTTATGAAAAGACGATGACATGGACGATGACGTGTATAAGGCATTTTCATCTTTTCGACAAGGAAGAAAGAGAAAAAAAAGAAGGAAGAAGGGAGAAAAAAATAAAAATCCATGTCATCGTCCACGTGGCGTGCCACGTAGGCAAGACCACGGTCAAACGCGGCTTTGGACCGGAATGATACAATAAACCAAGTTTAGGGATCTCGATGTGCGCTTGGCAAGTTCGTGGACCTAAGTGAAACCTGCTGACAAGTTTAAGGACCGCTAGTGCATTTTACTCTTTTAAATTCTTGGTTGAACTAAAAATGTGTGATATTTTTATTATATTGTATATACATGATAGTTATTTATAAATTATATCTCTATATGGACTCAAGAATCATCTTTTAATATTCCTTACTTTTTAAATTTCGAATTTCCTTTATCATAAATTATATTCCTATATGGATTCTAGACTACCCTTCCAATATTCATTTTTCTTAACTCTGAATTTTAGTTATTTATAAATTATATCTATATATGGACTCTAAACTCTTCTTTCAATATTTTTTATTTTTTAATTTTTAATTTCAGTTATTGGTAAATTGTATTCCTGTATTGACTCTAGACTTCTTTTTTCCAATATTTCTTTTTTTTAGTTTCAGTGTATGGACGCTAGACATTTTTTTCCCAATATTCTTTATTTGTTAATTTCGAATTTCAGTTATTTATAAATTGTATTTCTATACGGACGCTAGACTCTTCTCCCAATCTTTTTTATTTTTAATTTTGATTTTTTGTAATTATAAATTGTATTTCTATATGAACTCCAAACTCTACTTTTAGTTTTCTTATTTTTTAGTTCTAACTTTCAGTTAGTTCTAAATTCCTGTGTGTGGATCGTAGACTCATCTTCCAATATTTCTACTTTTCTAATTCCCAATCTGTTATTTCTAATTATATTTCTATATGAACTCTAAATTTATTTTTCAATATTGTGTTTTTTTATTTTGAATTTAAGTTATTTATAAATTATATTCTTATATAGACTCTAGACTCTTTTTTTCTCATTTTTTTATTTCAAATTTTAGTTATTTATAAATCGTATTGATATATGGACTCTAGGCTCTTCTCCTAATCTTGATTTTTTAAAATTTTGAATATTAGTTAATTGTAAATTGTATTTCTATATAGACTCTAACTTGTACTTTTAATTTTCCTTTTTTTAATTCCGAATTTTAATTAATTCTAAATTGTATACTTCTATGGATTCCAGTCTACTCTGTCAATATTCTTTATTTTTAATTTCGAATTTCATCTATTTTTAAATTATATTCCTATATGAACTCTACTTTTTCTTTTTTTCTGATTAATGTAGGAATTTCTAGGTTGTGAGCGCAAACGTGGTGGCTTTTTTTTCTATTACTTTAATAAGATAATAGATTATTAATGCAGTTCTAAAAAAAAGAAAAAAAGCAACCACCTAAAATCAGTGTTCTCACATGAAAATCAACCAGAAAACCCTTTAGTTTCAATCTAGTTGAAAAGAATTGTTTAGTCCATTGAAAATGATTCGATTTACTCCCTAATAGGATTTCTTTTCCCCGCCCTATAGTAGTCAATTTTATTTTGATCCACCTGATGTTCCTCTTAATTTACACTAGGTAACTTATCTTTTTTTTATTGTTCCGTTAGCAACTCTCCATTAAAAGTGTTATAGGATGAATAATACATTTAACGACGTGTGATAGACAAACCCTAACGGTGATGGTATTTCTGGAACAAAATCGCTTGTAAAATAATATTCCATGAAACTCGCGCTTATCGATAACATTTTTTTGAAATTGGATGCTTGTCAATGGTATTTCTTGGATTTTCTCTAAAATTAATTCCCAATCTTTAATCCCATATCCAATATATTTACATACACTCTTGTAACTGAACAAATAACCCACATTGGAACATGCATTACAAGACAATATATATGGATGTGTATACAATTATTCAACACCTTGCTAAGCTACTCAGTAGGGTAGGAAGGCTGCATGGCAAGGCCACACATACCCCTCTTGTCATCAATGTCCTTCTCCATCCTCAGGTACCCGGCCTCGCCCCACGTCGTGCCCCACGAGTTCTTCACCAGCCAATACTTGGTGCCATCGCTCGCCGCGCCATAGCCGATCACGGTGACGCCGTGGTCTAGGCTGGTGCCGCATTCGCCGGCCATCACGCCGCCGCCGTAGAACTGGAACTTGGACGCGTCGACGGCCACCGACACCGGCTGGCCGGCGACGGCCTTCATGAGGCTGGGCTCGTCGTTGGCCGGCACGTCCTCGTAGCCCCTGATGGACGCGGCGACGTCCGCCGCCGCCGTGGTCTTGCACCGGCCGTCCTCCGCCGTGTACGGGTAGTTTGCCTCGGCTGTGAGGCCGCCGTTGCTGAGGATGAACTGGAACGCGCCGTCAATCTCGCCGCCCTCGCAGCCCTGGTCGTTGCCGTCGACGTCGCAGTCGACCAGCTCCTGCTCCGACAGCGAGATGAGCTTGCCGGTGCTCAGCTTGACGAAGCCCTCCATCGCTGCCACGGCCGAGAACGCCCAGCAGCAACCTGCACTTGTGATTAATTATGGTAGATAACATTATCTTCTTTTAATAATCAAAGTGAGCAACTTCCGGATTCTGCATCAATCAATTAAGAGTGAATTGCACCAGCAACGACTTCAGCTCTACCACCATGCACTTCATCTCAGCTTGAGCACCTGTACCGGTGCTGAACCTGTGATGATTTGCTACTCTTCCCTCCAGATTGGATAGGGTGACTGGAGTTTGGGAAACTGTCATACTTCTACCTCCTCCTGATCGGTGATAGAATAACGAGAACAGGTTGGGAGAGAGGATAATAGGGCTGCCTGACTTGGAGAAGATGAGGTGTGGTGTAAAGTGAAACAAATGGTAAGGTTATGTGGTGCAAAGCGAAAATCATGGCTAAGACCCTGTCCAAGCTGCAACAAAGGTAAAAATACATGACCCAAACTGCAATTTACTCATCAATTAACGATGAAAAACAGCCGACGTGCCATCATATTGTTCACAAATTAAGATGAAAGATGGATTATTTTTTCATGCTTTGACCTTGGTTATTTGTGTACTAAAATGAGGACAACCAAGGAGGTTATTTGTGTACTTAAAATGAGGGGAAATATAATGATAACCAAGGAGAAACTTGATTATCAAATAATTAGAAGGAATTGTGACCGTTTTAAGAATTAAACACGGGATGTTAATGTTCAAACCACATACCTTACCACTACACTACCAAGTGCATCTCGGTTATTTTCTACTTACCACATTGGCCTTGGTCCTTGATGCGAGTGACGGCACCTTTGGTCCTCCAGTCCACGGACGCAGGCAAAGCATCGGCACTAACATTCTCATACTTGAACCCAGTTGATACCCTAACACCATTATTAGGAGTACTGAACCCCTTGCTGTTGGTCATGGTCGCCTTGAACTCCTCGCTGGTGAGATCGGCGAACTGGTTGACGCCGAGCCAGTACCTGTTCTTGCCACCGGCGTTGAACGACTCGATGAACGCGACGTTGGCCTTGAACACCTCGAGCCGCCGCGCCTTCTCCGCGGCGTCCTTGTACACACGGCCGTGCTGCGCCATCCACCTCTCGTGCCTCGCCGCCATGGCTGCGTCGCCGCCGAGCTCACGCGCCGCCGCGACAATGGCGCCGCCGCTGCTGCTGTAGAGGCAGACGATGCAGCAGAGGATGGCAAGGAGCAATGGCTTGGAGATGGCGCCCATGGTGAGATCAACCAGATCAGGATTTGTGAGTTGCTTGCTGCTTAATTACAGCTACTACTATGTGTTTTGTACTGTGTTTGGTTTGTCCAAATGGATTGGATGGTATGTGGTTTATATAGTGCTGCTCCTGCAGGTGTTGAGAGGGACACTCCAGCGTAGCCGTGAAGCTAATTGATCACAGGATTATTACTAGTAATTAAAAACCTGCAATTAGAACGTACGCTAGCTTCTCCAGTGACTTATGAATTAAATAAGAGGTTTAAAAAAAGCCGGCAAAAGAGAAAGGAATTAATAATGATCAGCCGGGCGGGCAGTGCAGGTAGGCTGCTGATGAGGAATTAAAAAACGAAACAGACAACATACGACGTTATGGGTTCTGCACATTAGAAATTTAGAAAATGAACATCATAGGATACTCGGATTACATGTTTACCATCCCCAAAAAGGGTTGTTTGAACATGTTACATGTGCTCGTACTATTGAGATAAAAAAAAATCACTGCTCAACAACACCTCTGCTTTATTTTCCAAGCTAGAAAATGATAGTCCCAATTACAATCAGCAAGCCTAACTCGAGAATTAGATGCGTAGAGAAAGGCATCCTCTAATACAGATTGGAAGGGCAAACATAACTAACAACATTAATACAGATTGGAAGTACTACAAAGGCAACACAGCGAAGATAAGAATCAAACGAATAAGCTATTATTTACTAAGCCCTAAAATCGCCGGAGAAAAATAAAAGAGACCATATAATCTAACCCAGCCTTCTGAGTGGAAAGCAACATATTTGTTTGTCTTTGGATGCTTCTTTGTTTGTTGGGTGTGCATGACTGTTGTTGACATCTTGTGAACTCTGCATTTAAATTTTTGTTGTCAGAGGTTGAGATCTCAGAACTTTGACACAAATGTATAGAGCCAATTGCAAGCGGAGAAAATGCATATACAGATTGGTGATTCTCCTTTTACATCTGATTTCTATAGACAATTCACAACTGATAAATACACAAATAAAACATCAAGGTGAGGTGCAGTCATGAATTAGTCATACAAAAGGATAGTGTTTGCAAGAAATGGGAAACTCCAAAACAGAGAAGTTTTTCTTTGTTATTTATCATCCATTTCCATTACAATATAGACCAAATGCTGTTACAATGTAAACATGAGCTCTAATTCCTTCTTAGCATAAATGCGGATGAAAGACTAAATAATTGGATTTCAAAATCAGTAATTCCATGTCCGAAGTTACAGGTCAAACATGAAGTGAGATTGGGTAACTTTCAATTACATTCTCTATTTCTGCTGCTTAGTTTGCCCCTTCTGAATAATATGCACATATTATTCTTTTTTGAACAATTATGATTTGCAATGATAGATGAGTCGTTCAGCAAGGCTCCTTTGCTCAATGATGCAAAGTTCTGAACTTGTTCCCTATTGACTTCACCAATAGTTATTAAAAGAAACATATGAAATTGGCACACCACTTATGGTGTTCTCTCATGGATGGATCAAATTGATCTTGACATCTCCAAAATGTTCATCAGAAGTGTGATGCAGGAATACACAGGAAGAAATGTGCAGCGTGGGTATACCATAATCTCCAGTAACTGCTACCATCATTATGAAGGCATAACGATGATTATCTATATAGTGATGTTGATCTATCTCTGGTTCTTTCTATGTTAGGGACGGTAGAGGTGCCCTTTACCTATCATATACAAATTAATTTACACATCATTTAGATGAATACCAAACTAACATGAACTTATGTTGCCAAAAAAATCTTACATGACAAAGTGGAGGAAACATCACACGATTAATGAATATAAGAGGAACTATGATATTCACCAGATATGTGAAGTAAACCACTATGTTACTTGCCAGATGCACATATTTGATATTGGAAAGTTTTGACTTGAAAATGTTTGTGCTCGTTACTATGCATTGTTCCTCAGAAATGTTCAGACACAAGCCTCCATATTTCTTAAGGAATAATAACATATCGGTTTATGGTTCATTTGGAAGTATGTGATTCAATTAGCATAAAATGATTTCGATGCCACACTCTCAATTAGCATAACAAATTGGAATAGACTTGTACCTGGTGAATTGAATCCTTTGCTTGCTTATTTCTACGATAAAAATTTGGTAGTGGCCGAGCCTTGAAGCTTTCATTTTGGGTTTTTCCCTGCACAAGAGTAGCATGTAAGGTTATACCTGATCTATAATACCTTTTCAATCATTATCCGTTATGATTTATTATGGTCTTTGAGAAGGCATCACAATTTTTACATTAATTTATGGCACCTCAACATTTGGATGGTATGTGAAATATAACAACAAATTAACATTGTAAAGTATGGTATCTCGTGGTACCTCTTCAAGGATCATAAAAATCTCGTCTTGAAAACATGTAGTTTATAAAAGTATTATTTACTAGACAACGATGGAACTTCTATTTGGTATGTCCTTGATATTATTTTGATGTGATTAGCTGGTATTTTAGTATCTGGCAATTCCTACCAAAATATTAACAGCATGGAACTCCCTAAAACATATGAAAACAGAGCAGTGCGGCAGCTATATTTATCATATTGCATTCACTCAGTCAGGTACTTTAGTAATTTACCTTCTCTTTACGTGGTGTATTGGCTTTCTGATGTGCCGATTGTGAGGTAAAACCAAATAACTTTTCTTTCACCCTCGTTACATGTGAGGACCTGGTGATGATAGAAGATGATGCAATCAAGTCATTCAGGGAAACCAAAAACTCCAGTATCTCTTTCAAGTAAAAAAAAGATGAATTGGCGTACTGTATACATTGTAATGTCAAAAATGTTCATTTACATCACACAAGGACGTAAATTCTTTCAGTATAAAAGCCTAATGTTCAGATCAATCCCTAGACAACTTTGGTATATTCAGGCTCTCACAACTCTGCTGTCGAACGTACCTTTGTTCTTCCAGTTGGGATGTTCTCGAGGTAATTTCTGGCACATCTTTGGGAAATGCCTGAAATGCCGTCAAACAAAATTAGTGCAACGATAAAAATTAATTGAAAACAGTTATGTTCATTCCATGAATTAGGCAGCTTCAAACCTCTATTGGTGGCTTGACTTGGCTCAGTGCAGAATCAGTGTGTTTCACAGGCCCAGTTGCAGATTCCAGCTGACTAATCCTTGCAGCAATTGTGGTGCCAAGATTTTTTGAGCTCGAGGCAGCATTGCCTGTTTCGCACCTACCAAAGTTCTTTGACTTCTGAAACGCTTCCAAGATGGACCGATTTTGAGGGACCGAACTTGTTGCCTGCTGGTCGCTTTCGTTGTTAGGAGGTGAGCTGTTCTCCTTTGCAGAATGCAGGCGTGACCGTCTTTTCGCCGATGAGGTAGGCCCTTTGCTACCAGAGGAAGGAGAGCTGAATTTGGCCGGTTTCTGAAGCAGAGATGGAAGCCGTCTTCTCTTTACAGACTCGGCACTTCCCTGATTAACAATGGAACTCTCCTGAAAAGAACACAACATTACAGTACAGGGTGGTATGTAAAATGCCCAAACATTTGATTCCGCTGCACATTACGAACAAAATCCCCACATAATTTGATGAACAGAAATGTCACCTTCAATGGTTGCTTGTCGTCTGCATCAGCAGGCACGGAATTGTCAGCACAAGGATCGGGAGTAGCAGCCTCCTGCTTCTCCATCGCTTGCAACACCTCTCTCGATTCACCAGCATGGACACCATCCTGCTTGTGATGCGCGGCTCCATCCGCATCCACTCCGCAAGAGGAGCCAACCCCACCATCGGCGATGACATCCAGCTCCTCCATCTCTTCCACCGGCCCAGCAGCGACAACGCCCGAACCAACGACGCAGCTCGTCGTCTCCTCCGCGGCGGGCTCGTCCGTCATACACGAAGAGGAGGAGGAGCGCGCCGAGGAGACAGCGGCGGCGGCGTCCTCGTCAGGGTCGACGTCACTGCCGGTGGCGTCGGCGTCGGCGTCGGTCTTGCGCTTCCGGGCGTAGTGCGCCTCGAAGAAGGCCTTCTTCTGGGCGACGGAGCCCGGGCGCGACTGGTGCGCCGCCTCCTCGAGGTAGCGGTTGTGGGCGAACGCCGACCACTTCCCCCACTCCAGCGGCTCGGCGAGGAACCGCCCGAACGACACCGACTCCCCCAGCGCCGACATCATCTCCGCCTTCCAGCTCTAACCCCACCATTAGAAACCCAATTAATCTCACCAAATCGATCGATTCGATCTCTCCGACAATTCGACGAACAGGAGGAAGGCGGGGGGCGGCGGCGGCGCTCACCTGGTGGTCGGGGGCGAGGATCTCCGGCTCCGGCGACAGCGCGGGCTCCGGCGGCGGCGGCGGCGGCGAGAAGTCCAGGTCGGCTCCCATGGCGGCGAGGCTGGATTGGATCTGGGCTTCTGGGGTGGTGAAAAAAGCTTCGCTGGATTGGATTGCCTTTTCGAAATGTGGAAGGAGGAGGGGAGTATGATTGCTTTGGGGAAGGGGGGGTGGTGGTCACAGCCTCACAGGCGCAGAGCGTGGTGGTGGGATTTGAATTGGGGGGAGGAGGAGAGGGGTCAGGTGTACGTTGGGAGGAGCTGGGGTTGGGTCTCGGGGGCCTACGGGTGACCGTTACACAGTGTTTGACCCTGAGACACACTGACTGCGTAGGGTCAGAGGGAGAAATGTTTGTAGCGGCTATAGTAGATTACCTTTTTATTTTTCTTTTTCGGCACATATCATAAGACCAAGTTTAACTCCATCCTGTTTTTTTAAAAAGATAATTTGCTGTGACAATTTTTTTTGGCAAAAGATTTGGCATTCAAGTTCTGCTAGCTGGCGTTTAGGTGGTGTTTGGATCCAGGGACTTAACTTTAGTCCCTGTCTTTAGACACTAATTTAGAGTATTAAATATAGACTACTTACAAAACTAATTACATAAATGAAAGCTAATTCGCGAGACAAATTTTTTAAGCCTAATTAATCCATAATTAGAGAATGTTTACTGTAGCATCACATAGGCTAATCATGTATTAATTAGGCTCAATAGATTCGTCTCGCGAATTAGTCCAAGATTATGTATGGGTTTTATTAATAGTCTACGTTTAATATTTATAATTAGTATCCAAACATCCGATGTGATAGGGAAAATTTTAGTCCCATCTAAACAGAGCCTTAGATGTAGGGTAAAGTTTTGCCACTTTACTAGTAAAGAAAGAGAGAACGACTCCCAACGTTTTTTTTTTCAAAATTTGCTACCCTAAACTCCCAAATGACAAATGACAAATTGCGCTACTAGTGCTTATCCATGTAGCAAAAAGTGCTTCAAAACATCAAAACTTTTGTCATTTTAGAGGAACTAAACAGGGCTATACTCCCTCTGTTTTTAGGTTATAAGACGTTTTGACTTTGGTCCAAGTTAAATTGCTTCAAGTTTTACCAAGTTTGTAGAAAAAAATAATAATAATTTCAACTCAACACAAATTTATTATGAAAATATATTCAATTATTGATTTAATGAAACTAATTTGGTATTTATAAATATTACTATATTTGTGCATAAACTTAGTCAAATTTAAAGTATTTTGACTTTCACCAAAATCAAAACGTTTTATAATCTAAAACGGATGGAGTAGTAGATTTTATCTTTGGTTTTAATTAGTACGTTTTTAAACGATTAAACATTGTAATTGTTAAAGGAAATTTAATATATCAAATAAATTTATTTTTCAAGTTGTAACTCAATTAATTATTCGCTAATGATTTTCTTGTTTTACGTGCACTAACTTCTTTCTAATCTTAATTTGTATTAATCTATCTTAATTACTACCTCCATCCATGTTATTCAAGCTACCTTTTCTAAAATGAAACTATTTTATCACCTGTCTCCTTGTCTCAACCAATCACAATCATTCTCCTTCACTAACTTTCTCTTCTCATCCAATCATACACTTTCTCCAATTATTTCCACGTACTTTCTTAGTACCTGTGTCAACCTTTAAAATACGTACATTTTTTGATGGAGCTAGTAATTAAGATGGATTAATATAAATTAAGATAAAGATGAAGTCAACACACGTAAAATGAGAAAACCATTAACGTATGATTAATTGAGCTTTAATTATTACAAACTTGAAAAATAGATGTATTTGATATTTTAAATCAACTTCTGCATTGAATTTATTTTAACACTGTCCAAAGTACATTACTACACTCAACTTTGGTACCCTCTTTAAATACTACACTACAGTACTACACTGCAATCCGGAGCGGCTACGGCTGCGTTCGCTTCTACGACTCGGATGAAGATAAAGGGTACGTTTGAGAACTTCTCTCCTGCATACGCAAAACGGAGTGGCTATTGGCGGCAGTTATATGCCAATTTTATGCCGCCAATACCTGCATAAAACATAGGAAATAAAACATCTAACATAGTGGTAGTGCTTAATTCTAACATATTCCACGAGTGTGTATATTTGGATGCAGGTAATAAACCACCAAAATTGGAAGGAAATTCAGACTATTTCATGCAAGTGTTGGGCTCCAAAAGTCTATTTCAACATTGGAAAATGGGCCCAACTCTCGAAGAAATGGATAAGGCAAGTTGCAAAGGAGATACAAACCAATTTATGGGCCTGTTGGGCTAGACCAGGGTTCGGCTGAACCAGGCCTGGTTCAGCTGAACCACAATCTCAGCCGTTCAGGCTAAGGTTCGGCGTGGTCGCTCCAGATGCACTCCTGATGACGGTTACGGGCATTTCAAACATTTCGCGTTCTGTAACCATCATTACCTGTCTATATAAGGACATCACTTCACTCAATTTCACACACACTTCAAGCTTGAGCTGAATTATAAGAGACTTTATTGTATTTTATTGTATACTAGAATTAGAGAGAGAGTAGAGTAGAGGAAGTCGGAGGAATTATAAGAGGAAGTCGGAAATTCTCTTCTTATTTCTTTTACTCTGTTAATTACTCTGCTTTAATAGAAATACTATTCTGAGTAATTATGATTTATTCAGTGAGATTTATCTCTTGGTTAGTTCCTAATTAGCGTGCGGGATCATTGACCACTATGATCCAGTAAAGTATAGTGGTTACTTTAGTGTTTAGCTAACGCTGAAGTAGTTATTAATTGTGTAGACATGGTGTTAGAGAGTTAATTTCTGATGGTGGTCTCGTATCCCACAATAGGTCTGAGATGGGTGTAGAGGTGGTGACAGCCCTCAATTACACTGAATCCCTCCCTGTCCAGGTATGCACTAGAGCGACATCTGGGAGCAGCTGGCTGGCCAGTGGCTGAAGTACCGCGTTACGATCAAATTGAGCTATCTTTGCCTATCTTTGCTTTGTATCATTGGACGAATCTGGTGAAGAGCTGACACACACATTCCCTGTAGAAATCGATACCTTGGAATACTCTCAGGTGAACTGCTACATCGGTATTTTCCGTGCGCTTGCGTATTCTATATGTGATGTTAAGAAATACCAACCGTGGCTCATTAGCACATGATGAGTTAAGTATTAGTAAAAAAACTTGAAAATAGATTAATATGATTTTTTAAAGTAACTATAGAATTTTTTTAAAAAACAAAGTTCGATAAATGTGCCCGTGAAATACGAGAGAGTAGAAGTTTGTGTAAATGTTTTATATTGAAAAAGTTTTTCAAAAAGTCAAATAAATATATTTTTGAGCTGGTAATTATTAATACTCAATTAATCTTATGCCTCGCTCTCTTCAGTCTATTGGTACTTAGATTATTGCATATATGCTTTTCAAGTCTTTTTTTTACATAAAGCTAAAAACAGTACTTTTTAAGTTTATAATAGTTAATACTAATTAATCATGCGTTAATTGACTTTCTTATCTTGTAAGCTAACCGGCTAATTGCTCCAACCTCACGAAATCCGAATAGGGCCTTAGCTAATTTGTGAAAAGTTTACTTTTACGTATGAGCAAACTTCACATACATGGTAAAGAAGGAAGGGATCTTGTTAAAGTTTGGCATGAACCGAACTTAAAACAACTTCTTCATTTAAGCAAATGGCCCAATAGAATAATGCTAAGATATAAAAAGTTCCCAATAGAAAATTTAAAACTACTGTTCCAAAATACTCCAAACTTCTAGAATTTTGTTTCTAGCACAATTCATACTACTACTTGTTACACCAATCACCCCCCATTTGAATTTCTTCCTATCTTATCCCACCCATCTTTCCAACTCCACTTATCCTTATTTATTGAGAGGTGCTAAAGTCTTTTCTTCTCAACCTTAGTCTCTAATAAGGAGAAAAATTTTTAGAACGGATGTAGTAAATGCTACCCTCACATCCGGAGACAACTTCAATAAGGAGAAAAATTAACTAAAGTGCTCCTCGTTATAGAAAAGTAGTATGGGTGGTGATGTACCTAAAGGTAATGAAATGATAGAACTTCTTGATTTATGGACTGAGGTTACATAAGGGTATAGAAATCAACTTATTTTGAAATTTGAACTTTAGAAATTAACTTGTTTTGATACGAAAAGACTAACTTCTTAAATTTGTTAATGCTTTGATGTCCGAACGTTGGATATATTCCCTCCATTTGAAAAATATAAGACATCATTGTTTTTCGCATAGTCAATATTAAAAAAATGTCTAATAATTAAACTAAAAACAAAATGCTTAGTGTCATGCAAGTAGTATACCTAGATTTGTATTTAATACTATTTTCATGCAATATTAATATTGTAGTTGTTGATACATTATAAAAGAAATTAATGATCAAAGGCCATATAAAAAATTAATACTGCTTATATTTTCAAACTGAGGAGTTGCTAAGTACTTAGCAAAGAAAATAAAATACTACTCTCCTCTCATAATATAAGAATTTTTTAGAGTTAAATGGTTATTAAGAAAGTAGGTAAAATTAAATGGTGGAAGGTTGTGATTGGTTGAGAAGGGAAGATAGATGGAGAAATTAAATGGTAGAGACTTATGATTGGTTGATAAGAGAGTGTTGGTGGAAAAATTGTTATGTTATGGGATAAATTCAAAAGGCTAAAACTCTTGTTAGACTTACTATTACAAGTGTAGCGGTTTACTAGTATTCCACGTGCAATCGCACCCACTAGTTCCAATCCGATTCATCCCACGCTCCCCACCGACTCAATGCAATCCGTAAATCATCTACTTGTTGGTTGATTTTGTCGACTTGTGTCCATAAGGGTTAGAAGAGGATCTAAACCACCAGTTTCCTTATCCTAACAAGAAACAAACTAACAGATAAATTCGTTTTTTGTGTGGTCGGTACAAAAAACAGAATCCTAAACTAATTGAGATAACCCCTGAGCCCCACTAGTGTCGCATATATAAAGAAAGAGAAGGAAGGAGGCAGACGACCGAACTCTCTCTCTCTCTAATCTCAAACCCTAAATTAATCGCCCGATCGATCTAGGCACTGGAAGGGGTTCGTGAGGCATCTTTAGAAGAAGAAGAAAGAAGAACGGCAATGGCTTCAAACACAGGTCAGTAGATCAATTAATTTCCGCATAAGCAAGAGGTGATTGTTTT